GATAGATAGATAGATAGATAGATAGATAGATAGATAGATAGATAGATGTTTAATAAATAAATAAATCAGCAAAACATCTAAAACAGTTCATTGGTAAACTGAGACTAAAGGCAGGCAAAAGTGGGGAGAAAGAGACATGAACAACAGACATGAAATAAAAATGCCAGAGAACTTAATATCAATAATCTGCATAATCTCTATATATCCAAAGGCACAGAACTTTCCAGAGCCAATGGAAACAATACAGTGGATAATGAGTATGGACAGTCCCAAAGGGAGTGGCTTTTAGTTACTCCAGTTTTAACTCTTTTAAGTCCATAATGTCAACAGAATAGAGATGGAAAGTAGGATACCACATGATCCTTCCTTTGTTCTGTATCATGGAAGAAACAGTTTGGAGGATGGGGGTGATGTATCCAACATACGTGCAGGAAAGACCTGGAGATGCCCCCTTATTATGCCCCTGTCACATATTTATTTTTGGAGCTTCTGTATGAAGTTGCCATTGCTCTAATGCTTTGCTCTATTTCTCTGAGAAGTTCCATGGCTTGTGCTCTAATCTAAGACAAGGGACTCCACCAGCCTTTCAATGTGTGACTGCTGCCTTCTTGTCCAAAGAATGGCCAGCTGTGGTGTGGAAAACAGATCTGTGAGCTCTCTTGGGAAACTTGGGAAAGAAAGGGAATGAGTGAAATCTGTTTAGGCAAGGAAATATCTCTGAAATGATGACCCAATGAGCCATGGGTTGTCTAGTATTTTTCTAAAATGTAATATGCATGTTTATCTTACTGTTATTTCATCTGCATCCTTACGTAGAGTTGCTTGACACCTGCCTTATAACTAGTGACTATTTGTAATTTGAATCTCTTCCTTACCTAAGGAAACAGAAACAGAATGACCAAGGGCAAAAAAGTAGTGGAAGTGTGAGCAACTTATGACTTGCTGCCGGCTTCCCCATTGACTTTGCTTTGGGGAAGCTGGCAGGGAGCGTCAGATTCCTTCCTTCCTTCCTTCCTTCCTTCCTTCCTTCCTTCCTTCCTTCCTTCCT